GTCTGGAAATCACTTTTATCTCCTTTGTGCTGCATACTGAATCGCAGCTATTAACTTACTGCTGCTCTCTCAGTTACTGAGCAAGTTAATGCAGGGCACAGGAGGTTACCTACATTTGTAGGTAAAACACACCCTGGAACAGAGACAGAGGGCAGAATTAGGAGGGAATATGGTCCATACTGATTATAACCACTTAAATGAGCTCAGCTTGTCCTTACACTTTGGAGAGTCTTCCAGCAAAGTTCCACGTGCCTTATGCAGCTCATTCTGCACGTTTATTTGTCATTTGTTTGGTACATCATGTACCCAACTCACTTGAAGATTCAGCAGTCTGTTCCCTGATACAAAACAAGAAGTTTGCTGAAACACCATTCCAGACATGCCATGTGAGGAAAGAGGGGGAAAGTCCTGAGGTGATCAGAATAGGGAGGTGGCATCTGTCTTTTCCCCTCATTTTAACCAGTAGTGAACTGATGAAGGGGGGGAGGAAGCGTGTTTAACAAGACTTGCTGAAACTAACTGTTCAGAGAAGTCAATACTGACATCAGAGTTTGGATTACCTTGCAATTTCAAGGAGACCAAGAGCCTCTCGTCTGCATTTCTGTGGTGCTATTTGCCAACACTGCCAGTCTGTTTCACAACTGCAGGTATCTTGGCCCACCTGTGAAATCATGTTGACACACCCTGGATGCTTTTAGGATTTTTTAATTCGTTTCTTTGAAGCTTCACCATCACTTTAACAAGGGGCAAAATGAAGCAGTAGACAGGTCAAGTCATTGCTGTGGCTCTTCACTGCATGGCGTTTTTTTGACCTTGTGTCTTCTAAGGCTGCTGTGGCAGGGTCATGCTTTTACTTGTGTGTGGAACAAACAAATGCTTACAAGCAGCAGTTGTTTAGTGAAGGAGGCTGCTGGAGGTGAGTAATGCCAAACGATTACTTTTGGACGGCAAGACTTCAGATGCCGTGTGAAATCTGGAATGTCTCTGAAGTGACATCTGGAGGTGGGACCTTTATTTAAGATCTTTACTTTTTTTTTTTTTTTTTTCATTTTTACAGATTGTTTGAGTATTTTACTTCCCTTGACGGGTTTACAGGTCCTATCCCATCTCTGATCGATCAAGACTTAAAACTGTCCTATGAAGTGTTAAATTAGTCTTTTAATCACTACAGGCATGCAGGGAGGGTAGCTTTGTTTAGCTAAGTCACATTTAACAGCTTCAAGGCCATACCAAATCAGCATCTTTGGAGCCTTGTAATACAGAAATTTTAAGTCTGTGAAGTCAAACTGTGATAACAAGTGCTGCTCTGATAAGGATGCTGGAAACCAGAGCTGAAAGATGACAACAAAGCAGGACACCTGAAATTGTGTGACACAAGAGAGAGCCACAGATTGTGAAAATGCCATTTGCATTTCAGTCCCAGCACCTTACTTTATCAGAGTATATTTTTATGGGCCCCGATGAGGTACACAGTGATGCAGAAGTTGTTGGTGTTGCTGTACCCCTCCCAACTTGCAGTTTACAGTGTACTGTGCAAGAAACTGAGGAGAAAAAGTTATACTTGTCATTTTAATGCATCCTCTGGAAGCAGCTCCAATACCATGTTTTTGTGATAGATGATTGCATTTCTCCTGATTATTCCAAGGAATGACAAAACTGCATGGTTCCTCTTTTTTGTGGACTCAGACAGCTGATGCAGAAATCATGATGCTTAATCATAGCAGGCTGGAGAGCAGTATGCTTTGTCTGGTGAGTGTGCGTTCCTGGCCCGTTTGTTAGATGTGGACTACTCTGCCAAGCATCAGATGATTTTTTTTTTTTTTTTCCCCCTCAGTTAACCAAAAACTCAATGTGTTACCATAAGTGACTTTCTGATGTAGTTTATGGTAAAACATCATTTTTTAGAGATGAGTCAACTTTACAGAGGATAAGAAGTTCTATAATCTTCATCTTACAGATTTTAAATGCAGATCCAGTGTGTTCCCCCAGCTTGCAGTTCTCGGGATGGACTCAGTAAAGACAGCACTGTCTGTCTAGAGAAGAGTATGTAGAGTGGTATTCACCTGTGACACCTGCAGTTCCAGGGTTTGGGAAAGATATGTGTGAACTTGCTTCCAAATCTGGATAATTGTCTGAACACTTTGTAGTGCAGCAAGCTATCAAAACCTCATTAGTAAGAAGCCACTCCTGTGCCTTTGTGTTTCAGCATTTCCGCTTAACAGAGATTACATTTCCTATCATAATGCCCTTTAGCAAAGTTCATTTGAGGATCCTGTTCCCTTTATTTGCACTTCTTGAAAAACACAAGGCTGCACCCTGAACTCACATGGGTATTAAGCCAAGAGCCACCTTTGTTTGCTTGAATGGAGTCAGCCTGGTTTTGCACTGCTGTGAAAGCACAGTCCTCCCTGTACTTCATTGCTGAAGATGGTGAGGTGGGTTGGGAGTGGTGGGAAAGTCCTTTTGAACACTCCAACCTGTTTTCAAATTGAATGCTTTTAGGAGCCTGACCAGTCTGCAGAAATTCTTAATCATTGTGTATGTCATGCTTGGGAGGTTGAGAAGTGAGGGTATGCAGAAGAGCATTCCTTTTCCTAGCTAAATCAAGGGATCAGTGCAATACGAGCAATGAAAATGCAGCTAAGTGTGGAAGGGGAAACGTTTAATAGTCATAGGCTTAGTAATCTTTTACTAACCTTGCATTTTCTATTTCTTGGAAAGATGATGACAAATGACTACAGGCATATTTCTCATCTCATTTGTGTTAAAAGGATCATTGGATTTTATGGGGATAAGCTTTTTCTGATGTCTGTGTTGTACCTGGGGTACACAGAGCTAGCTAAAGGCTATACAGGCTTAAGATTTTTTTTTTTTTTTAATTTTTTTTTTTTTTTTTTTTTTTTTTTTTTTCTCTCCCCCTTAGTTTTTCTCTTACGCTCTGCAATGCTTCCTGGTAAAAAATGTTCATTTTCTCTCCTTTTCATATGTGGCAAACAGGATTCTAAGCATACCTCTGGTTTTGGTCTAGATAATGTTCTCTAAAGCCTGCTTCATCTGTAATTTTTTCCTTATCTTTATTATCCAAGAACAGCAGCATTTCAGGATTAAGAGAATAAACTTTGAAAGAAACTAACAATGAGCAAAAAAACCAAGTAAAGTAGGTGCAATGATGGTGCTACTCTTAAGTGTGTTTTGAAAACAGAAAGGTCTTCTGAGGTCTTATTTCAGTTAAATTTGTGAGGACTCACAAGATAGTGATGAAATGTGCTGATTGAGGATCTTGAGGCTATTGATGGAGTTTTAATGAAAGCCACTCCCTTCTTGGTCAAATAGCAAAGCTTTCCTAAGGTAGAAAACCAGTTGCTTCAAGGTGATGCCATCTTTTACCTTCATCTGTCATGTACAGTGGAAAAACTAGTGAATTTCAGAAAAGAAGCAAAACTTTGTTTTGAAGAGAAAACAGAAGGTATGGAGAATGTATAGCTTGGTTTTTTTGACCAAAAAAAAAAAAAAGAAAAAAAAAAACTTTTTCACTTTTTCATTGAAGGCTTTCTTGGAAGAATGCTAAATCTTCATTTTCTGTCCTCTCCATGAGTATAGTAGTAGAAGTTTGGAGCAAGGAGTGGAAAGAATGAAAGGTTACTAGTAAGAAATGAGTAGGAAAAAATAGAGGTCACTGGAAAGCTATATAAAGATGGAAAAAGTGATCCTAGAGCTTGAAAGATGAGACAGCTACATGTGATGTAAGGCATTCAGCGATGTGTTGAAATATGAAGCAGGCATTTCAAGATGATGCTTTTTAAGAAGCAGGAATAATTTCCACAGTGCCATGCAAAGGCTAAGTTTAAATGAACAAGATAAAAAAAAAAAAAGGCAAGCCAGATGAGCAAACCATAACTGACTCCGAAAAGCATGTGGAGTGCAACTTTCCTACAGCACTTATCTGTTCTTCCTCAGCCTCATAAGTGTTGCCCTTGAAAAAACAAACCAGAGACCAAAAAAGTTACTAGCATTGTCTCTACAACTACACCATGGTCTGAGTTTGAAAAATACCAGTTAGGCTTGGTCTATTTTTTGGATGCTGAACACATTTAGAGTGAGTGGTTTTCCACCATGACTTACAGAATAGGAGGTAGTAGATACAGAGAGGAATGGGTGTCTTTCCAAAATCCTTTCTGTGATGTCTAATTTGTGGATTGTTTTATATATATATATATGGCCTGAATGGGGTAAAAAAATACAGTAGCCTTAGTCCAGAATTTTTTAATGGGATTAATGTAGTGGACATTTACAGTTTTCTCCCCTTTTGTTTGGTTTTCTTTTTCCAAAAGAGTCATAACATATGCAGAAGCTGGTCTAACCTTGATAAACATGATAGTTATGAAAATAGCTTCATTCTGGAGGAACATCTGATCAAACTTTACAGAACAATTTAGTATATTCACCTATAGCAAATCTGTGCCTGTGGAGGGGGAGGGGAAAGTGTGGTTAAAATAAAGGAAGAATAATGGTGTTATAGTGTCTAGGGTATTTTTCTTAACACTGAAAAAATGTTCATGTGATCATTGAACTGTAAAACAATAGTTGTTGAGGAAATACTTGTTGGCATTTAGGATATGTTTAATTCTATGAGTATTCGTCTGTGAGTTGTTTTCCTTTTTTCTTTTGGTGTGAAATAAAAGCAGCGCAGATGTTAACGTTATTCCAGTGCTTTGGAGGCCATCACCTTCCCTTCCAAATGTGTATGTGGTCTGTGCACATGCCTTCTTGCTGTATTCAATTTGTGTGAATTCTAGTTTGTGCGGTCAAGCAAATTGTTTTGCTGTTCTGGATGAAATTCCAGTGTGCCCTTTGGAAATTTCTACTGCAGATTTTTTGTGAATGGTCATGTAATCAAACACGTTGCACAAACTCACAGGCCGGTCTTGCAGCGGCCAAGGGGCTTGGGTGTTGACTGCAGTTCTCTTGTTACTCTCAACAATCTCTCTTTCCTTCCTACTAGGAACAAACACCAGCATGACTAGGGTCTGAGGAAGTGCTTCTGTGTTCCTAACAAGGGTTTGTGGGTGCAGAGGAAGGGTGCAAGGACAGCGGGGACATTTTTGAGGTACCATGGAAATCCCCACTGATTTGGTGCCGTCCTCCATGATGTCCCAGCCCGAGCTGATTGAGGTGAGTAACCCACAATGACTGAACCTCTTCCTTATTTCCTCATGGAATCCTAGGTTTTTCTCCTGTCTCACTTCTGAGTCGTAATGGGAATTTCTCCTGAAATATTGTATTAAAGACACTTATTGTTTACTAAGAATGTTGTACTTTGACGCATGACATCACTATTTTATACTTCTATTTGTAGAAGAAAATATATGGCAAAATATGACCTTTATTGATTCCATGTAGGTGACCCCTTCACTACGGTTTGAGTTTTACTGTGCCTAATGAATACAAACCAGAATAAGGTCATAATGTGTTTCAGCTGCAATAAAACAGGAAAGTCCAGGTTCAATGTTCTTACCTGAAAAGCTAAAATTTTAAGCCAAAAGGAGCAATAACATTAATAATATATTTAGAATTACTAACACACTAATCTTGATTTTGTGACTGAAAGTGTGTGTATCAGATTTGATATTTATAAATCCCTAAGTGATTTCTTCAGCTCCGTGTACTAAACACCAAGTACATGTATTATCTGGTGAAGTAAATATTACAAGCAGAAAAGGACATGCTAATAACAGTCAAGATTTCATCTCAGAAAAACATTTTCAAAGTCCCTTTGACTTCACAGAGACCTGAGTGTCTATTACAACCTAAAACTTTTAAGAATGTATATTTCTCTGAAAAGGGCACTACAATTGATTAAGGTTGATGTCAGAAGATTGAATACCTAGTGGTTTTGTTGGGGTTTATTTGTTGTGTGTTTGTTGGTTTTTTTTTCTGGAGATTCTTTGCCTCAGGAGACTATACCTCTTAACCATATGAACTGAGAAGTGCAGTAGTTCAGAGATCCCTGGACTGTGAATTTACCAAAAAAACATGTCCACTAGTGGGTGGTGATGTGTAATGAGTGGAACCCAAAATCTGCATTGGAGAAACTTCTTTCTGCATCTCTTCTTACAGTGTTTGAAATGAAGAATTAGTATATTTTAAGTGTATTTTTGTTACTTTTCAAGTCTCTGTCCCTTGATCCCTGGATCAGAGAAAGATTTTGTGGTTTTGCAGCAGAACAGAATAGCTGGTAGGAGGCAGATGCTGTGTGCTTCTGTCTTAGGCTGCCTGGCTGCTTCCAGACTCTCCTCACTTTCTGGAGGACTGGTCTCCCAGGCCATCTCCTTACATTCTCTGAAAAGCATTTGCAACCCTGTTGCCATGGATTTTCTCTTCAGAACCTTTTTACGTGAGAAGTTTGTGTATCTAGGGATTGCTACTAAGGATAAATGCCTGCTTGAATGGGAGAAAAAAAAAAAGGTCAACTGTGTTGCAAGAATGACTGGAAGAAACACTATCACTTGTACAGGACTTGATGATCAGCATATCACCACTCTGTTGTACTCACAGGTGAATAAATGCATGTGTCCTTTGTCTGTAGCAAGTTTCTGCTGAATAAATCCTGCCCTGGACTGGCACCACTAGACCAAAGACTAGAAATTAATTATTCTGGTAATTGACTGGTAATCCAAACAGCCCTCCCTCCAGACTCTGGTTTTAGAGACTGGGCTTCAAAGAGTTTTGACTTGAGAGAAAAAGAGAAATGGCAACAGGAAGCAAAGGAGACTGGTATCTCAGTGTGGGAGATTGTGGTAGAAAAATACCACTGTCTCAACCTGATGTTATAAAGATGGACTCAGATTTTATATCTTTATTGGCAGATTTACAAGTGTTCGTGAAGTCTCACAGATTTCAGTAAACCATTGTGGATCTGATGGTTAATATGTCTTCAGTCCTATGTAAAGAACTAACAGTTCTGAACGTCAGTTAGGAGCTGACAACAGGCAAAGACATAGGGAGACGTACAGATGAAGCGATGAATCGTTAGATGGAAGTATTGGAGTAAAGCACTTCCCAGACTGGGACCTCATGGGCTTGCCTTTCACATTTGCATTGACATACAAACGAATTTTGGATCTAGTTTAGAAAACTATATCCATTAAAATACTTTTTTTTTTTTTCCTGAAGGACATTATTTTCCCTTTTAGAATTGAGCAGATGCCACAGTGTGCTGCAGAAGACATTTGGAGACTAATATTTTAAGGAAGGGTTTGGGTTTTTTTTAGCTTGGAAGTAGCCTTGCATGCCTTCTGCATGAATTAATGGCATCTCAGTTACCAAAAGAGTTTTGCTACTTTACTTCAAACTTTCTTTATCTTTAATCTTTTTTAAATCTTTTCTCTTTAAACTTTACTTTAGCATTGCTAGGAAAGTTGGTTTCCAGTACCTGAGAGGGGCCTACAAGAAAGCAGAGGAGGGTCCGTTCACAAGGGTTTGTAGGGACAGGACGAGGGGTAACGGCTTTAAGCTGGAAAAGGGGAGATTTAGGTTAGACCTTAGTAAAAAGTTCTTCAGTACGAAGGTGACAGACCACTGGAATAGGTTGCCCAGACAGGTGGTGGAGGCCCCATCCCTGGGGACAATCAAGATGGATGAGGTTCTGAGTAGCTTGATTTAGTTTGAGATGTCCCTGCGTATGGCAGGGGAGTTGGACTAGATGGCCTTTGGAGATCCCTTCCAGCCCAGACATTCTATGATTCTATAATCTAATCAGAGAGGATGATTCCTTCACCTTTGGTCTATTTAGTCTTAGAAGTAAATATTACCTATACACGTATATGTATGTATGTGTATCTATGTCAGGAATGAATATTCCTTTACCTATTATCAGTCCTCTAACTGCACAGGACAAACAAGAATAGACTCTTCTTCCCCTACTATGGGGAAGAATCGCAGAGACTTCAGCAAGACCTCTTGCAATCTGAAGCCCGCCTTGACAGGATTTGTTTGGGCTTGAATCCTACAGATGCTTGTGGTGGCATCACTAATGAGGGAAGTTTCTGTTAATTTAACTGCAAACGGTATCTTTCTCAAGGTTTGCCCTCTGAGTCAGGTAGCAAAAGGTTCACATTTTGAAAATGTTTTTGAAAGTCACTTTTTGATACCAGGTGTGAAATTGTTATTGCTCTGTTAAAATATTCTTATTGCTAGTGTCAACATAAGAACTGCTTTTGGCACTGTCTACAACCCTCTGCTGAAGCAATGCATTTTCCACAGTCATCTCTCTTCATACCCTCCCTATCGACAGACCTGTCTGAAGATCTCTGCTCCCATCTTCTTCCTGCCACCCCTCCAGCATTCTGCTACCAGATGTAAGAAGAGGTGATTAAGAGCACAGATTTAAAGCATCTTGGTCATATTTAAATGGTTAAGTAAAGTTTTAGGATGGTTTAACTATCCATAGTTGAAATCTGGGATAGAAAATAGTTAGGGGACACCATTCATAATATGCCAAAGAAGTGAATGAAACAGAAAAGTTCCAGAATATGCTTTCAGCTTTTTGGCAATGGGATTTGGAATCTAGGAATTTCAGATTAGATAAACCACACTGCTGTTAAGGACAGAGAAACAAAATGTCACAGGACATGTTAATTTTTAAATTGAGGGTATTTTGTGGTACATGTGGACACTGTGTACCTCAGCTGTGTATAAGCAAAATTATATCATAGAAACCTTATTAGTCTGGTAATGTAGTAAGCAGAAAGTTAAATAATTCTGTAAGAAGCATTTAGCATCCCAGAGGGCTTTACTGTTTGCAGAAAGGAAACATAACAAGGAGTGATCTAAACTGATTAATGTACTCTGTGGAGTGATTAGTATCTTCTCTCTTTGTGAATGGCATTAGATGAATTCTGCAGTAAAAGCTTTGAAGAAGAAATGATTTGAGCTCCAGTTGCTTAATGAACCAGGGACTTCCAACAGTGCTTCAGAAATGCTTAAAACAAGAAAACAACAAAAATTCATCATTCCCTCTTTGCTTTTGCCAGCAGTGGATCCTACCAGCCAAATACTAGAAATAAATGAGCACGTTTAAATAACTGCCTTGCAGCTTCCAAAGATAAATCCAGAGCAGTTTCCATTATAGTGGCCTTTCATGGCTGTGGTTACTAGAGCCAAAAAACACTTCTCACACTCTGTGCCATTGAATATTTCTCTAGTTACCCTTCTTTTTGTTTGAATTGGAGTGGAAAAGATTTAAACTATTCTTGCCACAGAATAGTCATCCTCACTAGCTTTTTACTCCTTTATTGTGATTCTTGAGAACAGACTTCTGGGGTTTGACACAGCTGTTGTCACCCCCTTCTCCAACAAAGCACAACATGATTTGCATTTTAAATTTAGTGCCCAAATTTCTGCAGCCAGTAAATGTGTGGATTTTTTTTCTCCTCTTCTAGATGAGTAAATAAATTAACCTCTTTACTGAAACAGGCCTCTGGTGTTGATAAAAAAGATAAAAGAGAGAAGAGAAGGAAATGGTAAGACTGGAAGAAACAGTTTGTGATTAGAGGTATGTCCACCCAGTCACAGACATCGTAGGGGAAACTGAAATACCAGTGGGCCTTGTTTTTTTTTTTTTAATTCTATACTAGATGAGATTACCAGAGGTTTGAAATACATCTCTGTTTTGTTCACAGTAGACCAGTACTGCCTCATAGGCAACTGCTCAGTACTGTCTGAACACGTTACTGATTGAGAACCCATTGTTGCCAGTGCCCTGGGAGAGAGATATTTTTCTGTGTTCTGTTTGTATTTCATGAAGCAGTGCATCAAAGCAGAAGAAACTCCAAACTGTCTGATGTATATTTCAAGGGGGAAAAAAAAAATTCTTTGTCATGGAACACACAGGGTAGTTTTCTTATTTCGATTTGGAAATCTGTTTCCAGCCTAAAATGAAATTTTCTCATTAACATAATTTGGAATAAGCATTTTGCTTGTAGGCTAAACTCTCACAGGTTTGTTTGGTGAGGAGTGATAGAAAGTGTGCCCTGGAGGTGGAAGTAGCCCCAGTAGCTTATAGCATTTTTTCAGCAAATATGTCCAGTCTTTCGGTTGCTGGAACTGAGAATTAATTCCCAGCTTGACTCTGTCCTGGTTTGGGGTAGAACAGAGCTTATTCTGTTCAATGA